AACCTAGCAACGACATCGATGTGTACCTGAGGCCACTAGTTGAAGAACTTCTACTTTTGTGGAACAGACCAGGTGTACATGTGTGGGATGAGCACAAACAGGAGCACTTTGACCTATGAGCATTGTTGTTCGTAACAATCAATGATTGGCCTGCTCTAAGTAATCTTTCAGGCCAATCAAACAAGGGATATAATGCATGCACGCACTATTTCGATGACATTAAAGGTATATTCTTGAAAAAATGTCGAAAGGTCGTGTACCTTGGCCATCGTCGATTTCTTCCTACGAATCACCCCCTAAGAAAGAAAGGCAAGCATTTTAAAGGTAAGGTAGACCACCAGACCAAGCCGGGCAACCGAACTGGTGAGGATGTACTCAATATGGTCAAGGATGTGAAAGTAGTATTTGGAAAGGCACATGGCAGTGAACCTGTTCCGAACGACGCCGACGGTCACGCACCCATGTGGAAAAAGAAGTCCATATTTTAGGAGCTACCCTATTGGCAAGTCCTAGAGGTCCGTAGCGCGATTGACGTGATGCACCTGACGAAGAATCTTTGTGTGAACCTGCTAGGCTTCATGGGTGTGTATGGGAAGCCTAAGGACACACTTGAAGCATGATAGGACCTGCGGTGTTTGAAAGAACGAGACAACCTGCATCCAGAGAAGACAGATGATGGACGCCATTACTTAAGTCCTGCCAGCTACACTCTTAGCAAAGAAGAGAAGGAAAGCATGTTTGAATGCCTAGCAAGCATCAAGGTACCATCTGGATTCTCCTCGAATATAAAGGGTATAATAAATGTGACAGAGAAGAAATTCCTAAACTTAAAGTCCCATGACTGCCATGTGCTCAAGACACAATTGCTTCTAGTTGCATTAAGAGGAATTCTATCTCCAAATGTACGTCTAGCCACCGTGAAGCTATGTGCATTCCTAAATGCAATTTCTCATAAGGCAATCGATCCAATGGATCTAGCTAAACTACATAATGATGTGGTTCAATGTCTTGTCAGCTTTGAGTTGGTGTTCCGTCCTTCCTTCTTTAATATCATGACACACCTCCTAGTTCACCTGGTCAAGGAGATTAGCATTCTCGGTCCTGTGTTCCTGCATAACATGTTCCCCTTTGAGAGGTTCATGGGAGTCCTAAAGAAATATGTTCACAATCGTGCTCGGCCAGAAGAAAGCATCACCAAGGGCTATGGAACAGAGGAGGTCATTGAGTTTTGTGTTGACTTTATTCCCGACCTTGACCTAATTGGTGTTCCTGAATCGCGACACGAGGGGAGACTAAGTGGAAAGGGGACACTAGGGAAGAAAACATATATTGGTATGCAGGACAATTATTTTAATAAAGCACACTACATAGTTCTGCAAAACTCCTCCTTGGTGGATCCGTATATCGAGACACATAAAGAGTTGCTCCGATCCAAGTTTTCAGGGAAGTCTGAAGCTTGGATTACGCGTCAGCACATGGAAACTTTCAGCGACTAGTTGCGAAAAGAATGTCAGGGTGATGAGAGTATTGATGAGGAACTGTATTTGTTGGCTAGGCAGCCATCTTGACATATCCTCACATACAAAGGGTACGAGATAAATGGGAATACATTTTATATAGTAGCCCAAGATAAAAGGAGCACCAACCAAAATAGTGGTGTCCGCATAGATGCCACCGACCCTAATGGAAATAAGCAAACATATTATGGCCGCATAGAGGAGATATGGGAACTAAACTATGCACCTACTTTTAAGGTACCTTTGTTCAAGTGCCAATGGGTAAAGGCGATTGGAGGCGGGGTAGCAGTCGACAACCAGTATGGAATGACAACCGTGGACCTCAACAATATTGGGTACAAAGACAAACCATTCGTCCTTGCTAAGGATGTGAATCAGGTGTTCTATGTCAAGGACATGTCTACAAAACCGAAGAGAGGGAAAAACAACAACGACCCAATCAATGAGCCAAAGCGCCACATAGTTCTTTCAGGGAAAAGAAACATCGTCGGAATTGAAGACAAGTCAGACATATCAGAAGATTATGAAAAGGATGACCGAATTCCACCCTTCACAGTGAACAAAGACCCAAGCATCCATCTAAATGATGAGGACACTCCATGGTTACGGCGTGATCATAACCAAGGGATATGCGTTAAGAAGAAGTTCACTACTGTGCCCGCTTGATATATATAGTGATGTTTAATAGTCTGTATTAGAGGTATTATGTAATAATTGTGAATTCAGAGATGTTTATTAGGTGTTTCCTTTTTTTTCTATATTCAGATTAAATTTGTGTTTGATGGTGGGATTTCCATGTCGCACAAAGTAAAAAGCAAAAGCAATGCATCTTATGTGAAAAAATTAGTGAAAAATTGTTTTAGTCCCGGCTTGATATGGTGATGTATTAGACCTATTATGTAATAATTGCTACTTCAGATTTTTTTGTCGTGTTTTCATATTTTCTATGATTTAAATGAATTTTCAACGTCAATAAGATGTGAAAACTAATTTCCTGTCGAAAAGCAATAGTTTTAATGATTTTAATTAAGTAGTACATTTTTGCATGGTGAAAATTATAATTACTATTTACACTATGTTAAATATTTATACGGTAAAACAAAAGAGTTTAGGTTACAAATTTTTCTTATGTACAATAATGCAAAACCAGGTCCAGTAATTCTTTTTGTAATTTTTTTGCTAATATTTTATTTACTAGGCAATTAACAACTCTCTACATATTTATATAAAACAAATATATAAAAAAGGAAAAACTTCTAGAAACCGGCGCGAAGCCAAACTGCAGCCCACCTTTACTCCCGGGTGGATCAACCATCCGGGACTAAAGGTGGGCTGCGTTTTCATGGCCCGCCAAAATCACCTTTACTCCCGGGCCGTGGCTATACCCGGGACTAAACCTCAGACCTTTATTCCCGGTTCTAACCATCACCCGGGACTAAAGAACCTTTAGTCCCGGTTCTAACTATCACCCGGGACTACTAAAGAACATTTAGTCCCGGTTCTAACCATCACCCAGGACTAAAGGTCTCCCTTTATAAACCACACCCTTCTCCCTTCTCTTCCTCTCTGTCTCCACCACACCGTTGCCTCTCTTCTCCACCAGATCGATCCGATCCAGCAGCGCCGCCGCCCCTAGGCGACCACCGGAGCACACTCGAGCCTTCCCTGCGCTGCCGCACCTTCGAGGACGAGGAGCCCCGGAGCCTTCCCCGTGCTGCCTCACCGGAGCGCGCCCGAGCCTTCCCCGCCGCCGCCCACAGGCGACCACTGGAGCGTGCCCGAGCCTTCCCCGCCGCCGCCCCTAGGCGACCACCGGAGCGCGTCCGAGCCTTCCCCGCGCTGCCGCACCTTCGAGGATGAGGAGCCCTGGAGCCTTCCCCGCGCTGCATCACCGGAGCGCGCCCGAGCCTTCCCCGCGCGCGCTGCTTCACTGGAGAGCGCTCGAGCCTTCTCCAAGATCCACAGCAGGCCACAACATCTATATTACATCACGTCTTCTCCAGGTTTGGCCCTCGTTCTTGTGTTAGATTCGTGAGATGCAGTTAGTGGTTTTCGAATTTGTTGATAGGAATGTGATCTGCCTTGTTTTTTTTTTGCCCTTTTAGAAATGAATACCGACATGCTTGCATTAAGCAAGATACTGTATTGATGTGATGATCTCAATATATGGCATTATTGAATTTTGATCGACAAATATGGATTAGTCATTTCCTTGTAAACGAAATCAACTCTTCTCTTCAAGTCTATTGATTTTCTGTGATTACAATGATCCATTCATTAAATCATCATGTGAAGTTGGTGTGTACCTTCAGTATTAAAACACTTTCTACTAGTTTAAAGTTTATATTTTGTCTGCTATGGCTTCTTTATTAGTTTCCTGATAATCTTTAGGTAGGTCATCATTTGGGAAAGTTTGCCTAGCTGGCCGAACCCTTTGTGATCAGAGGCGCAGGCACTTAATATCGTTTCTATGCATTGCTGTGTGATTGAACAAAGCGCTTGTAATTTCATTGCTTCTTGGTAATGAATTTTGGCTTTGCTGTTGTGGATAAAAAATGACAATTGTTTATTATTTCTTGATAATTATGTCAATGGGTTCTGCTTGGCCAGCCCACTATGTACTAAACTGAAATTGCTTACTAATAGCTATTTGATCGATGATAATCATCATTGACTTGCTTTCTGGTGATGATTGAAGTTTTAAGTGTCTTTTCTGTCTGGTATTAGGCCCTTGTGGATGCCCCCGACATCAGTCCTGTAATGAAACAAATTATTACTGTTTTTTAGTAAAGTCTAAGTCTCTAACATGTTTTTTGGCTGCAGGAGCTGGACCTTACGTTTGACACCTTGGATGTGAGACACCGCCTCCTTGGCCAGTCCTATTTATGATGGATTAATTGCTCCAACCTTTTGTAATTGGATGGATGCGTGTGCCGAGGCCTCGTGCCAGCAATCTTGTAACGCGATTTTGCGCTGAGCCATCGAGCTCACTGGAGCATGGGCGCGGCCCGGTGTCTCGTCGTTTCCTCCTTTTTGTGCGGTAGCTTATGACGACGCCGGCCCCCAGATCCGATACGTTCGACGGCGTTCGTGACATTGTAGTAGCAGGGCACATAGTTCTCGTACTCGGGCGGGCATACCTCCGCCTCCTTGGCGCGTACTAGTTAGAAAATTGTAGAAAATCCGTACTAGTTGAACTTGCGGACCGTGTTCATCTCAGCTAGCATGTTCTCTGCCGAGCGGTAACGGATGTCAAGGAGGAGTTTTGATTCTACGAGGGAGAGCAACAACGGTCGTGGAAGACCGTGTTCCCTTCCTCGTAGAATCGAAGCTCTTCCGTGGCCAAGTACGGTGCCGTCCGGTGGAGAAATGCCCGCCGAGTTGATCACGTAAGCAAGGCCAACTAGTACGGAAGCTTACGTGATCTTAGAAGATGTGTGAGGTCATGAGAGCATGTGTGTTTTCTCAATTTTGTCGAGCAGGTCACTTAGAATCAATTTTGCTGTTGTTAGCACCTGCCCTTGGCAGCGGTGGCAGACCAGAAGTGGATGGGATCTTCCCTCCGATGGACAGGTTCAGCATGGAGCTGGAGCCGTAGTTGTCAATGGACGTGCTTCGATCGAAACAGGGCATGCTCCCAGCAAAGTAAGGGCTGCTGTTGCTGCCGCCCCAGCTGCCGGTAGCAAAGCTAGGGCTGCTGCTGCTGCTGCCCCAGCTGCCGGTAGCAAAGCTAGGGCTGCTGCCGCCCCAGCTGCTGGGAGCAAAGCTAGGGCTGCCGCTGCTGCTGCCCCAGCTGCCGGGAGCAAAGCTAGGGCTGCTGCTGCTGCCGCCACCCCAGCTGCCAGGAGCAAATCTAGGGCTGCCTCTGCTGCTGCCCCAGCTGCCCGGAGCAAATCTAGGGCTGCTGCTGCTGCCGCCGCCGCCCCAGCTGCCCGGACCAAAGCTAGGGCTGCCGCTGCTGCTTCCCAGCCAGCTGCCGGGAGCAAAGCTAGCAGGGCTGCTGCTGCTGCTGCTGCCCCAGCTGCCGAAGACGTTGTACCTACTCTCCGCTTCCGGCGCGAAAGTTGGTCCCTGGCTGTGGCCTCTGCTGCTCCTAGACCATCCGTTTAGGCCAGGAATGGAGCACGGGATAGCATCCTGATATAGCCCATCCTCATCGTCGTCGGCGATTGATATGAAGTCAGGATGACGGCGTGCTATGGCGTCGACGTACTCCATCTCCATGACCTCCTGCTTCACCGCAGCAGAGGCCCTTGTAGATTTGGCGCATGTGGGGAGAGAATGGAACTCGAAGATGGCTGCGCGAAGCCGTTAAAGTTGGTGCTGCTAGCGCCGTCAGCCTGGGGTGATGGCGGTACCAGCGGCAGCACAGGTGATGATGGCTTCATCATACCTCCGATGGAGCTGGTGACGCCTATGGACGAGCCGCCGGAGTGGTAGGCCATGCTCCCACTGCTGGTGCTTACCATGGTGCACGTGCTCGCCGCCGTCGGCGCCAACATCCCTGGCGCCATCCACGATGCACTTGCCCCGCCGCCGCCGCCGCCCATCTGCGGACTAGTCGCCATCCACGATGCATTGGGCAGCTGATCCTCTGGATCCGAGACAAGGAAGGCACTTACATCCATCTCCTCCTCCTCCTCGATGGGCGGCAGTGGGGTGTCGACGGGGCTGCCTTCCACCGCCAGCGAAGGTATACGCAAGCTCTGCGGCAGAGGTTCCATCTTAGAGTCCGATGACGGCAGCGCGTGCGCAAGAGCTAAGGTTTTCATTTTTGGAAATTAAAATTTATTGGGGGTCATAGATAAAGAGGATAAACAGGATATATCAAAAATATCAGACCAAATTCATATAAAATTTGATTTGAATTTAAGTAAATTTAAATAAATTTAAACAAAAATTGTACGAAAAAAATAGATATTTTCTTATCGGCACCCATGAATAAAAAGGATATATTAGAAATATCATAAGATTTCAGCCGATAAATGGCGCACCCGACCAAGTTGTCGCTGCTCTGCGGCACCAGGCCACCAGCAGACAGCGGCGAGAAGAAGGACGACGACATCTCCTCGCTCGGCCACACCGCGGACTCGCCGTCGAACCCGAACAAGCCCAGGCTTGGGCACTCTGGCAGGACCGACGCTGCCATCGACGACGACTGTCCTTGCTCCCACGGGCTTCCGAGGAGCGTCGGGAGAGGAGTGGCCGCCGTCGCTTCTGGATTGCCGAACAGATCATAGCCCACCATAGGGAGAGTGCCGGCTGTGGGGAAGGAGGACGAGGGCACGGACTGCGACGACGACGTCGCGATCGCGTGGACGGAGAGGGAGCCATTCCCCACCCCCACAGCCGGCGAGGGTGGGATCTGCTCGTACCAGGACGACCCGGATCCGGATCCAGACGCAGGGACGAGCCCGGGAGACGGCGCAGGGGAGAATGCGGGCGATAGGAGGCTCGGGTCGCGCACGGAGGGCTCACCATGCTCGAGGACCTCAGCAGGGGAGGTCCCGGCGGCGGAGGAGGTGGAGGTGTTGAGCTCCATGTCGGCTAGGGTTTCGGCGCAGGGTGCGGACGCGATGAGGGTGGGAAAGGATGCGAGGGTTTCCGGCGGCAGGGTGCTGTGCGAAGGAGAGGAGCGCCGGAATGGGAGTACCAGCCGGTGATAGTAAATGGAGCAGCTAAAAGAGGAAGGTAGCTACCTAGACTGGACTGCACGAAATAGATGGGCCATAAGTTGGTAGCAGTCCGATGCAGCGGCCCAGGTAAGTGCAATTCTTGCCCAACCCAATATGTGTGCAGCTCTGCCCTTTTTTTTTTAGAAACAAGTCCAGAAAAAAACCTCTCTCCTCTGTAAACTATAGCATGTTTTTCAGAGTCTAGACCAAGACAATGTTGGTGGACGGCCCCTACCCGAATATGTTGTTTAGCAGACTACCTCTATCCTCAACTTGTGTAATGTAAGCTACCTTAATTTGTTGGCAACAAATTTCCTCACTCACTATCCATTCCTGTTGGGCCAATAGGTGACTACCTATTTTTCTCATTCGTCTGTTTTCCACCCGCGCATCTCTTTCCTCTGCCGAGCACATGATCCGCTGACGTCGGTTCTCCATAGGGGGACCCTCCACGTTGTCGCATGGGCAACACCTGCGTCCCTACCCTAGCGCGGGAGGTGTTGGCCATCCCGGCACGGGCACACCTCCCTGGCGCGAGCTCAAGGCAGCTGCCATCCCCTGCGTGGGCGTGCCATCGCCGCATCCGGCCGCCCCCAGCGTGGCAGGCCTCCTTGGTCGACATCCAAGGCGTGGCACAGAAGGAGGTGCGGGTGGCCCTACCCAGTGCAGTGGCCTGCTCGGTGCAGTGGCTGCCCCCGGCACACCTCCGGCCACCTCCAGTTCCATTCATGGCGAGAAGAAGAACACGAGAGAGGATGACATGTGGGACACACATGTCATTCTCTGCTTGGATGAGTTTGGGTTTCCTATTTTAGGTAGTATTGCTAGAGTTGGGAGCAAAATATGGGTGGTATGAAAATAGGTGGCTACCTAAAAAGATAAATAGGTAGTCTGTTTTAGATAGTACTGCTGGAGATGCTCTAACCATGGCACTCTGTGCGCTAATTTGTTTCCTTGAAATAAAGGGGGGGGGGGGGACCTTTTCTCTAAGAAAATTACCACTACCACAAAATAGAATATCCTTGAGGATAAAAAACCCTCAAGAAAACCATGAAAGCCACCGCAAGGACATAATCCTCAGTGGCCAACACTCAAGGAAGCATTGCCAAGGGTAGATAGCAAGGAAAATAGCTATTATCTGGAGCATGGGCCGCCACAAATGATTTTCTTGGGGGTTTCGTCGTCTTGGAAATATAACAGCGTCAAGGAAATAGAACACCCTCAAGAATATATGTTTTCTTGAATGCTGATGACCGCCAACAACCGTCAAGGATATATTTTTCTGAGGGCCGATGACCCTCAAGGATATATGTCACTGACCCCAAGTAGACATATAGCAAAAAAAGTTCACACATTTGCTACAGCTGGGAATCAAACTTGCGGTCACGATGGCTTTTGTGACTCAGTCAATATTTCTTTCTTTTTTACTCACATTACTGAATATTGTAATGAATATTTGAGACTCTAAACAATTTTAAATGCAAAAGCTTTGAACTAAAAAAATTTATATCTCGTTGAGTACTACAACTTTTGTTTAGGTTGTATCTCAATTCGAGATCTTTGGAAAATTTTAAAAAAATGAACTTTTGTTTTAGTTAATTATTTGTGCAGTGTATAAAGCTTGAAGCATATCATATCTATTTTTTGAGTATTTTTTGTTCTCTGTTGGATAATAACTTATTTTCTCTTCATTTGATCAGCAGTCCTAGCAAATTTGTACCCAAAGAAAAGGAAAAAAAATTAGCTCCTCCTTCCTTTTAGCCTTGGCTCCTCCATTGTGTCCAAGCACTCTTTATGCTATGTATCAAATGCATTATTCATTCATCACATCACCTAATTATATGCATGAAAGCTTTGCATTCATGCACTAAAGACCTTATTGAACCCCAAGTGTGACTTAAGTGAAGGAAAATGGAAAAAAACTTGCTTTACTCTCATAATGAGCTGAGTGAGCCATACAAAAAGAGGACCTATCAATTGAGCCCATGGGTCGAATTGACGAAAATAGCTCACCAAACTATGTGTTAAGTTAAATGCAAGGTTAACACTATTTTGTAGAAATGCTTGTCCATTGAAACTCCTAACTGCAGCGTAAAACAAGTTGAGGAGTTCCTATGGAACATTGTGTCGACTTCACAATGATGTCTAGTCATCAAAATAGGAGGCGCCGTTGTTAAGTTGGCTACTTTGACTACAATGTAACCTCCATCAGAATAGCGAAGACAACAAGAAGCTAGCAAGAGCTCAGACATCCATTTCACATCCACCTCGCCATCAACTTTGGTTCTAGGGGCTCATCGTCAGGTTTGGCATCTACAACAACTTCGTGTCATCACCACCTTCGATTCAAGGGCCTCACTAACAACTTGGCATCATCATCAACTCTACCACGACATCACCTTCAATACAAACAGGGCTCACTATCATCTTTGACAACAACATCAACTCCGCCTCACCGGTACATTTGAATTGAGAGCGTCACCATCACCTTTGGTGTTGGCATTAGCTTTGCCTCACCATTGAATTTGGCTCAAGTTGTTCATCGCTAGCTTTGGTGTTGACATCAACGTCATCTCATCGTCACCCTCAGCTCGAGGGGCATACCATCAGCTTCGGTCTTGTTATCAACTCTGCCACATCATATCACCTTTAGCATGAGGGGCTTTCCATCAGCTTCGGTGACAACATCAACTCTGCATTACCGCCACCTTCGGCTCGAGGAGCGCACCATCAGCTTCAGTATCGACATCAATTCCGCACTACTTTCACCTTCAGTTCATACTTGAGAGCAGCTAGTCGGTGTCCCGGTGAGGTGCTGAGCTGCTACTACCTATTAACTGCTTGGCGTCGTGGCCCAAGTTGTCTAAGGTCCGCTAGGCATAGAGTGTTGTTTCCTGTTGGGGCTAGTGTTGGATAGTGGCTGCCGTAGGCCGCTGGCTGCACTACGCTGACCACCTACCACCTAGGGGCTCCGGGTTGCTACCAAGTGGAGGCCTCGGAGCTGGCAGAGCCGTTGAATGCTAGCTGCAACCATGAGCAGACCTGTGTAGTAGGGCCATGTTGGTCGCTGGACTAGGGGCCGAGAAGGAGGAGGTTATATTATGTTACCACTTACCATTGTATGCCACCTTATTCTTAATATGTTATGTTACCACTTACCACTTATGCATGTGATTAACGCTTACGAATACATTCTAATATTGAGAATGACACCACAACACAATTATGAATATGCCATAATGGTTGATATTATGGGAATTATGCCATTATGGATATTATGGGAATTATGCCATTATGGCATATTCATAATTATGCATGATAAAAGGTATTGCATCATTGTCGTCCTTCTCTGTTAGCATGTAGAGTTTTTCCAAAATCTGCTAGCACAACAAATTGACTCATGTAGTTAGTGTTGATCAACCAAATTTGCCATTTGATTAGAATTAATACTTCTATGGTTCTTACCAAGATATCCGGTTCTTTTTGTCATTGTCATTTGTAGATATATGTTGTGTTGTGTGGTGGTCATAGATGTTATAGTCTTTGGACTTGCGTACAAATGGTTTCCTAGCTAGTGACAATTCTTTCAAGGTTTTCCTCTAACTTGCTGAATTGTTTTGACATTTGACTATATATTCAAGTATCCTAGTTTCAGCCATTGAGGTTGTCAATGGGAAAAAATAGTCTTTTTAGCTTCGTTTTTCTTATCCAGGTCCATGCTTCAGAGATGTTCGGTTGACACATAATCGGACAATGGTATGTTGGATTTGGAGGAGTTGAAACCATATATTGGTGTAGCATATTCATGAAAGTTGTGATTTGTTTCAGTAGGCAAAATAGGATACATGTTATATGAATTACCATAATCTTTGTTCCACTCATGTGATGTCCATGTGTTGTTAGGAGATGCTTTCCTCCTAAAAAAAGATGGTCAAGTATCCTATTTACATATTTGGCTGCAACCAATAATGTCATAAGTAATTATCACCTGAACATATCGATGATCCTTCATTGATGAAATTTGATTGGTGTACATTTTGGTATGAAGGTCCTGAAAAAATGTACAATTTCAATAAATTAGAATTAACTAAAAAAATTGTTCTTATACAACACATACCATCAGAACCCATCTCATTTGTCCAATAATCTCTTCTTCTATAGTAGAGAACCTGCCACGAAGACAATAATCCATTGTGTTGTCTACCAATTATTCTTCTAGAGTGACCAATTTGAACCACTTATGTTTTCCGACATGATTATGCCTCCTATGTCCATGAGATCATTAAAATTCTAAACTCACATCTTTGCACATAATGATATATATACTCCCCCTTGATCCTTGGTCTCCTTTGCTATTGTTCCTTATCAATCTGAAGCATCCCTTCTGTCACCAAGACTTGTGGATCGGAAGCTTTCTTCATTTACTTCAAGGAGTAGGAAGCTTGCTTTGCTATGCTCTCTCCTCCTTTAACATATAATCAACAAAAGCATGCATACAAGGAGAGAGCTGTTAACAGCAAAGGTATTCATGATGGGAGTATCTTTACTATTGATTCACTTAGGAGCTCATAATTGAATGCCATCACTTCCCTTTGTTATTATCACTTGAATGGGTAGATCTTTGACTTCTCCATGGTACTCTTATCTTCACCTAAAGGACTACATAAGATAGAATTGAAAACATGTTAGTCCCAAAACCACAATCTATAGACCAAGCTCCCCTAAACGTGCACAAGAAGGATACTAATTAAAATATTTATGCCAATTGAAATTTAAAAATCTTGCATATTGATTATGACATCAATAGGGTGGACAACCAAAAACTTGGGAAACATGTAGGAAACAAATTTAAACATGAAATGCAATT